GCTCTGTAAGGGCCAAAATGGACGCTTCCGGGTGATCATAGGTCCTCTCACCCAGGTATGTCTCAGGCATCTTGCTGCTAGCACCATTTTCCCCATCGTTCACCTCCCCGTCAATGCGTTGAAGCTCCGCTGCAATGAAGTCATCTGTAAGTGCCACGAGAGGAGAGGTCATTTGTCCTTCTCCCTTTCTCGATCCCTCTTGTCTTTGCCACCTTTGTCTTTCTTGCCCTTGCCCTTGTTCTCGTCTGTCTTTTGCTTGCCTGAACTCTTGCTGTCGCTCTTTCCTCGAGAATAAATGCGCTGGCTGGCCTGCTTGTTCTTCAGCTCCTCCCGTAACTCTCGATTGGCAGACCTGCTCTCCTCGAGGTCGACGAGTTGGGAGGACTCCGCTGGTGTCAACTCTAGTTTTTGGGCCGATGCCCAGGAGGTGCCTCCTCCCAAGGCCTCCAAAAACGTGACGCTTTGAAGCAGTATGTCCAAACCCAGTGCTGCTTGCCCTTCGAGGAGAGCGTCCGCCGCTGAGCAGATGTTGAGGCTCTCCCTTGCGAGGGGCGGAGAAAGGCGCCCGGCCAGAACTTGCCTGTGGTATTGGAGACATATGGCAGGTAGAGCTCCTTCGCGAGGGGCAACTGGTAGACCTTGTGCTGTCAACAAATACTTTGACATGTTTTGTATCGTCTGACACGACAAGGCCCCTGGCCCTCTGACAGCTGCCCTCCGGATCTTGTGAGAGTCCTCGAAGAGCTCGTCGACCATGCTCCCCGATCGGCTGTCCCCGCTGCTGCTGCCCGTCGTCTCTTCGGACTCGTCTTTCTTTTTCCGCATGGCCTTGCGGGCCTTCTTCATGACTGCCCGTCGAATACTGGCGTCGGGGTCCAGGCCGGTGTACTGGAAAAGGTGTTTCAACTCCTTCTTTCCTTCCACCTTCCATGACTTGCCTTTTCTCTTCTTTTTCTTGTCTTTCTTTTTCTTTTTCTTCTTCTTCTTCTCCTTGCTGGAGTCCGTTGAGCTTGAACTGCCTGTAGATCCTGCTCCCCTCGCGGCCTCTTCCGCAGGAGCGCCAACTCCTTTTGCCCTTTGCCTCCCTGGCTTTCCGATCTGATTCTGCGGCCAACTTGCGCAGCACTTCGGCTTCGGCCGCCTCCTTCAAGTTGTGAGCCCATCCTGGAGTGTCCACTTCCAGCAATCTCAACCGCTTGACGTGAATCAGATCCTCGCTCTGTGGACTGTTGCTGCAATCGGCGCCGCAAAGGTGTCCTCGAAGCACACGATCTTCCTCGGCTGTCAGCCACTTGAGTAGCTGTTCGTCCGGGGTTCCGCTGACTCGGAATGACACTTCCATCTGCCCTGCCTTGATATGCCACTCCGACCAGCTCCACTGCAGCCTCTACTGGCCTGTCCCAGTAGAGGGCGTCCACGTTGAACTTCTTGCCGGGCTGCAGGTCTGTCACCGCCACTCCTCCAGCTTCTACCCATGCTCCCGATGCCAGGTCCTCTCTGGCAGGAGCCTCACCGAGTTCCGCAGCAGGCCTGGCTCTCACCCTCCTTCTCTCTCATCCACCGGCAACAGCTGCTGCAGGCCTTCTCTTCGGGGCCATTCAACCCCAGTTCACCAGCGCTTCTTGTACGCCAAGAACTCCTTGAAGTCGAGCTGTCGGCCAACCTTCTTCACACCTTTGTTGGTCCAATCAGGTCGAGCTCCACGATCAGCAGGCGGGTATCCTTTCCACCCCCTTCCGCGGCCTCTGCCTTTTGATGGTGGTGGATAATCTGGGCTCCTGGCCTTTCGTTGAATCGATCGACTAGGCCTCCGAGAGGGTCGAGGGTGAACTTCCGGATGAGCAGACGAAGACTGGCCCTCCCAGGCCCGTTCCAGATCGTCTTGGCCCCGATCACGACTGTCGTCTCGCGGCCTCCGTTCACTCTCCTCTTCTCTTCTTCTCCTCCTCCTTGACCTCGATCGTGTTCTCCGGGATCGCTTCTTGTCTCTGACACTGTCCGAACGAGGAGAGAGGTCCTCCTCTCTCTCCCTTTCGTCCTCGTCTATCTTCTCTTCCTCGGGCACTTGCTGTTCACTGTCCTCTTTCTCGAACTCCTCAACGCCCTCTTCCCCAGCTGGTTCTTTGACCTCAGACTTCACTCCACAAGCGGCTTTGGGTGCTGTGGTGCGGAGAGCAGCTTCCTCCGAATTGAAGGCGCTGTCTTCACTAACCTTCTTCTTGACCGGTGCTGGACGATCACTCTTTTCCTTTCGATGTCCAGATTCTCGATGTCCTCGATGGGTTTTTTCTTTCTTTTCCTTTGGTGCCTTTGTTACCTCTGTTGTTGCAGCTGACGCCTTGTTGTCTGTCCCTTCGTTCGGGATCTCTGCCTTTGCACTGGCCTCTGTAAACTCCCGTTCAGGTTCCACCTGAGGAGATACTCTCGCAGCTGGAGGTGCCGCTCCTGCCGCGTAGTACGAATCCCCCCAGTCGCACAGTTCGCCAGCTAACACTCGCAACCTGTCAGCTGCAAATGGCACGTATCCGGGTTTCGGCGAAAAATCCCGGATATGGTGGCAGACCCGACGAAGGGTCGTGCACACCCCGCACCTGCAATGGGCGGGGTGCCCCCACATCCAAAAAATGAGCCGGAGCTGCGGGGAGACACCATAAACCGGGTAATTCTCCTTTACTTACGGGGTCGAAACAGCATATATATTGTTGCATTTTATCTGGCATACATTCTGGCAATGTATCTGGGATCCTGGGATATATTATAATATTGATATATTATGGCATTCTATGTGGCACACAGTCTGACATTCTTTTCTGGCAGTCTATCTGGCATAAATTCAGGCGGTCTATGCGGCATAGTTTCTTAACATATGTTTTTTTTTGACATCTCTTGTGGCACTCAGGCACTCTTTCCGGACAATATCCTGACAGTGTATGTGGCATATAAAAATTCTTGCGTTCTATCTAGCATACTTGTTGACATTCTTTCTGGCATTCTTCCTATCTGGTTCAGGTCCAGTGGTGCCCACTGCGATCTAGCACTAGCGGTGAATGTCCGGCTGTGCCCACTGCCATCTAACGCTCGCGGTTGAGGTCCGGCAGTGCCCACTGTGATCCACACTCACAGTAGCAGCAGTAGCACTTGTGGTTGAGGAGGACGCGGAGGAGGAGAAGGGGAAGGCAGGAGGAGGCGGAGGATGACCGAGACAGCCTGATAAAATCTAACAACCCTCACCTGGCAGGTGGGGAATTGTCAAATAATGATCTCATTATGCGAGGCAGGAAGTGCATTCATATCAAGAACATTCCTCCACGCAGGAACTTTCTTTAACAGTTTTCGTTGATGACGGTTGAGATAAGATATATATGTGCCTGAGAGACTGGCGCCGGCAAAGCATACCAAGACCAAATTGAACGGAACTGCTTGGTGGTGCATTTCTTTACAGGATCTGTCTCAACATACACCTCCATCAGGATCCCTCCGTAAAAACCAAGCCCTGGTAGATCCAGCTAAGTTCACTGCAGCAGTGCATGATGACGACTGGCAGACTCTTGCGATCCAACTGGGCCCCAGTAAAACCCATGTAAAACCCTCGATTCCACCACCCCTCCCACCAGAGTCACTCACTCGAAACCATCGGAAGGCACACCTCCTCCCTGAGGCGCTCGAGGAATCCCGGCATGGCAGCCCTCCGGTGATAATTCGGGGGTTCCACGCAAAGGGCAGCCAGGACTCGGATTCCGGACACGCTTGGTCCTGGGAGGGACGCGACACAACATGACACGCTTGTGTCAGGACGGGTCGGGTGTGGTTGTGGAACAAGCACCCCGGTCCACCTCGGGGTGGGGCCACTAGGGTGCCGAAGGTGCGGTGGAGTTGATGTTTGGTGGATAAGCTAAGCCCTGTGCAAGCTCAACAAGTTGCCCTGTGCAGCTCGCAAAACGAGCGCATACTAGCTTTTGGATGGAAAGCTTGAAAAGACACAAGGCAAGCCACCAGCTTGCGAGCAAACAGCAGCACCTATAGACACAAGTTAGGCAACTGACTTCGAGAACAGCAGGTTTAAGACAGTGGACATGCAAACACTGGTTGGCAAATGTTTGCAAAAGGGGTGCCAGCCAATGGGTATAGCTGACGGGGGCTTCTAAACTGATTGACTAGAGTCTAAGAAAGCGTTGGAGGTCGAAGCATCTGTGCGTTCTGAACCAGGTACAGCCAGGTGGACAAAAGATGTCCAATAGCCTTGTTATACAGTACACATCATACACGTACCGTCAAGGTCTCCAAAGTATTGCCTTCACCGGTTCCGCGGAAAAGCAGGCCGCGCTCTCCTTCATGGACCTCTGGATAATTGCGCACATTGCGTAACATCCGTGGCTGCTCCAGCTCGGTGATCCGCTGGTCGAACCTCTGAATCAACTTCCTTGGACGAAGCGTCTGGAGAACATGCCATTCAAACCACATGCAATTGACTGAAGCCCCAACGCTCACTTTTCCACATGGTTTTAGTTGATTGCCACACGTTTGAAACGCATCTAATTATATCGCATGCCACACGTTTGAAACGCATGGCGCCGCGCCGGGCCCGCGCCCGACTCAACCGCTCCAAAGGTACCGAACCGATTCCGTGGCGGCGGCTCCCATGGCGAGTCAGTCGAGTCGTGCAGAAGCGGCGGTGCGGATCGTTGCCCCAAAATGGCTGCGGTGGACGAACGCCAGGTGCCCGGGTCACACGGGTGGAGTGGGGAGGTCGTTTTCCTTCCCACGGGTGCAGTGGGTTTCGACATGTTTTGGCCGTGATTCTCGGTCAATGTTCAAGGAGCGATCAAATGTCAAGTTCATATTTTCTGTGTCTGACAATGTCTGAGCCCGGCCAAAAGGGAACATCATGGGATACACCATGGGAGATGGACGCAATATCACCGGCCTAAAAAGAATAAAAAAGCCACCCGGCCCGGCGTTAAAAAAAAGAAACGAAAAACACCAAATGGCTGCCGAAACGCTCGGGCGTGGCGTGTCCGCAAAGCTTCTTGACCTCCTCCTCAGGTGCCCGGGATAGCGTTGGACCACGGAGTTGCCAGTCACTGCACGTCACTGCATGGTTTCAGCAACATGCCTTTGAACAAGGAAGGGCCCCGGTTGGCTGAAACAAGTTACTGAATTGAGTGAAGGGAAACCCATTAAACCTTGGATCTGTTTGAGCCACCTTTCAAGTCCGGTGCCACTGGCGGGTCCTTCCCTAGACACGGACCGTGCCCCAAATGGACCATGCCGAACACGATCTTCATCATGTTCCAAATTCCGCTGATAATTGTATTTCAGAAACACAACATATCCTGTTTATGTTGGTCTCTCAAAGCGCCACGGGCGTTTTTATAGCACCTCGAAAAAAAGTGCCTGGTTTCAACCTGGGGGAAGCATTGGAACCCCTGGTGCACCAGGCCCTCTGCAAAAGCCAGGCATCTTCCAAGAGCTTCCAGGTCTCCGGCTGCACCGGTGTCTCCTGCAGATCTGCAGCGGCTGCACGAAAGAAAAATGGTTGAACTGAACGTTCCACCTGTGGAATTTTGAAGTGGGATGCCCCCAAGGCCGGTGATCCACTTGTCCTCAGTAGGCGCACGGCTCAGCCCCACATGTAGTCAATGAATGTCACTCAAGCCTCACTTCATTGGAGATCTACTGTGCAACAGCAACCTAATAGCAATGGCCTCCCTAGTAGCAATGTCCTCCAACCTGCAAGCGATGGCAAAGGACATGCTTCATGAGGTCAAAGGTAGAGGGCCAAGTCTACTGGTCCTTTGGAACTGTAGGGGAGGATATTGGGGAGGATATCCTTCATATCATACTTGGCTTTGCTGTGCACCCCACTGGCGCCACTGGTGCTATGTGGGGACGATCCAGTAGGCTGCCTGGGACGGTACTTGGTCTTCTTCGGTCCCTTGATTCGCTGTGAACAGCCGAGGCAATTCCAACAGCTTCTTCATCCAACGTCCTGCCAACGGGGGGGGTCCAACATGATCGCTCCACACAGCGGCGCGTGGTTCCACGTGTTTCGGACCCGCCTCTCCTCACCCTCCTCGGCCATCTGAATGGCATCCAAGGGTTCCAACAAATGTGGGCTTGTGAACATGCCGACGCGAAAGCCAGCATGCCTCGCGGGTCCGCTGAAAAAACGCGTTGATGAACGGGGCGAAAGGCGAGCGAAATGCATGTTCGAAGCAGTGCGCGTTGATTTCGGGGCGAAAGAGCTGTGCCCTGCGAAGCACCACCACTTCTCAAGGCGCCAATTCAGACCTCTTGAGACCACATGGATCACCTCATGGTCTCTCGACCACATGGCGAGCTTCGTCCCGCCTGCAAACCGCGAAAAGCATGGCACACACCTCGGGTTGCTGCAGCCGAGCCGTCGGGGTGGACAATTCAAGCATGCTAAACCCTATAGGGCTCCAACTATACCTCTAAAGAAAATGGTTGAGGTGGGTTTGGGGGTTGAACCACCTTCTGAAGATATGGTTGGAGTTACCATTTTCTTACCAGCCAGGCCTTGCCCTCGATTCGAGGCTAACAGCCAACTAAATATATAATTGGGACTCGCCTTGGTAGAAGTCCTTGACTTTGGTAATGCAGCAATGTTCCTCTCATCCACCCACCCTGGCTTCTCTCGTCCCTCTCCCAACCCCACCCGAACCGCCACTCTGCGGTTTGGAACGGCTGCTTCGCCCGCTGCTGGTTCGAGCCAGGTGACACTGCCCTTGCCATTGGTGCCAGCCACATGAAGACATCGACCCCGCAGGTCCACTTCGGGCTGTCCCAGGCGCCTCAGCGCCTCCTTCACTCGCCCAACGCCGGGGTCGATCTCCCCCCGCATGGAGGGCGCGCGATCGCGCGAACGAAGGTGGTTTCCAACCACCGGGCGCAAGCGGATGCGTGAGGGTTTGGAGTGCGTGACGTGCACATGGGTTGGTGAGAAGGGACGATAAAGGAGCCTTAGAGAGAGGTCAGGGCTGGTGGTTGAGCTCGTACATCATCGGAAAATGTCAGCTAAGAGGTGAAGGCTATCCCACTAACTACAATATATAGTCTTCTTGAGCCGGTCTCTTGAGGAAGTTTACGTAGTACTCATGGATGCTGAATGCCGGCGGCACGCAATCTCTGAAGCCAACGCTAATTATGTTCAATTCAAATCCTGGCGGCAACCCTGTGCTGACTGAATCTGTCATTGGAGCCCTTAAAGATCCTTAAAGCAAATATTCAATGTTCAGCATGGTTCCAAAATGTTCCAAGCATACCGGTGAGATGAAGCACCGAAAGACTCATGGAATGCTGCTCAACTTGCAAGCTTTCTCCCGAGGTGGAGCACTCCCGTGCTCGTCATCCAGAAGTCGACGTCACACGCTTCAACCAAGCGCTTTCATTTTTCGTGCTCTGAATAATCTGCTTCATGCTGCGATAAGTCACCTGCTCCCCTCACTGGATGGGCCTCAGCCAGTCATCCTCAGTGTTGACAGCTTTGAAGTTGTCCAAATGGATGGCCTATACATTCGTTCTACTAAGGGGAGGATGACCACCTTCGACCACTATACTGTAGTACAGATACAGTAGTACATATAGAACCATATGACCACTATACTATATATAGTACATATATACTATAGTGGGTGTGTATTTTGTTACCGTAGTCGGGCCGGGAAGTTTGAGTAGGTGGTATGATTCGAGCGTATGATTCGGGTATTCGGGGGTATGATTCGCAGATGAATCGCAGCTTTGAAGTTGTATTGTTGGATTAGCTGGACTTCCAGCAGTGGGCCCACTCTGCGCCGAGGCAGTAGGCAAGCAGCATCTGTTGGATGCTGGGCAGACTAGGCAAATGCACTCTTCCACCAAAGGCTCCAGTGGCCCTCTGCAGGCCCCACCAAAACAACCAGGATGCGGGATGGGTGGGAGACTGTGTGGAGGTGCGTGATTCGGGTATGAATCGGGTGTGATTCGTATGGCCATTAGATTCTGCAAAAGAAGGTGGTCCTTTGGCTCTTCTTCCCAAGGGAGAGGACATGGGAACATTATGAGTACCCCTGGGATGTGAGCCTTTGCTCTTCCCACAGGAAGACACAAACAATTTTGGCCAAATTGAGTGCCAGTGGATCACACAATTGCAAACGTCGTGCACCATTGGCTCATGGACATCTACAAGGCACAAAGACCAACCAAAAACTTAACCTTAACACCTTGTTCTTACGTGTAACGTTTTGAGGGGTATGATTCGGGGGTATGATTCGAGGGTATGAATCGCTCAAGTCGAACTTCCAACCACTACATCAGGAAGTACACGCCAACAAAAATACAAACCCATATTATATATAACTGTAACCATCAGTCTCATCTCTCCGAGGTCCTCACATCAAACAGCTGAGATACCACCAGCGTAGGACCTAGGACCGGTCCAAAACAACATGTCAACCACCGATCCTCGTGCTCTCAATGGTTTGTGCTCTCGGGCTTGGTGGTCCAAGGATACTGGCAGAATATGTTTGAATCCTTGCTATCTGAGTACTGTGAAGGATCCATGGATCCAGGATGAGTTGGAACATGTTGGAAAGTCAACTGCTCCGTGTTCTTCAGCCACAAACCAGCTGCAGCCGTGGGTTGTCCCATCTCCTCTAACGACTGAGCTCCTCTAGGGCCGAAACACCCAGTAGTTGCCACGCTGCAAGGCTAGCTTCACCCCGCTCCTCAGGGGTATCAGGTTCCTGAGCGCCGAATAACATCCCCTTCTCACAGAGTTCTGGAAGGAGAAACTGGGTCTCAAGGCCTTTGACGAACTTAAACTAGAGCATGGGCCAATTGGAAAATCATGATTTAGGCATATTTAGGCTGAATGTTCGGCTTCCATTTTGGTGAATGTGCAACCGGCAACTGAACAAGACACACTATCAGGACGGGCAGCATTGGCATTTTGCGTTTCAAACGGAACATCTGTGGCACCACATGACATCCAGCACGGCTACTGCAACTCGGAACATAGCACGATGGAGGAGACCCAGGCAGTACAACCTCCGTGCTTTTAACCAAGGCAGCAGCCAGAAGTGCTCAGCACCAGACTGTTCTGCGTACTTTCCCAGAATCTCCCGAATCTCCCTGCAAATGACATGTTTCAGCCACAGCCAATTCGTGGCTTTCATATTGGAATTTGCATACATGCTTCAGGCAAGGCTTGCTGGTTCATGTGGCAAAGATTGGGGCTGAGGGTTGACCAAACTCCCCTACGATCTAGCAACCTTCTGCATTCGGCCTTCTTCTTGCACACACATGATTTCAACACCCACCGCTAAAAGCTACACCAAGCTTTGTGTCTCCATGCCTCATCCACACCACTCCATCCCAACTCTTGCTTCTGTGCTTCAGTGCCCGAAGCTCAACTCACACCAAGTCCCACTCCGAACCCGGCCGCACTGGCTCGGCTCGGCTCCTCCGCCCATCCCCCCCGCTTTTTGGCCGTCGCCGACCGGGACGGGTTTCGGCCCCAGGAGACCGGTCGCGGGACCAGAGCAGGTCGAGGGAGAAGGGCCATCGGATGGCCTCCGACTGCAGCTTGGAGGCTGGGAGCCCCAAGGCGGCACAGGTTTGGACGTGGACGTCCTAAGAGTCGGCGAGAGGTTAGGCTTGTGGAGTCCAAGGTTCGTCTTTGCAAGGCCATCCGATTGAGATGGAGGTGTATATTTTTTGTAGTGGGATGCGGCAATTCATGGCGTTCAGTGGGCAGTTGTTGCTGTTGGATGCTGTAGGTGTGGTATGGTGGGGTCATGAGGCTGAAAGTATGGTGTGGTATGGGTGTGGTATGCTTGCGATCCAATCGCTGAAAGTTGAATCTTGCTTGGTGAATGCCCCCGAACCTGCCACCCATACCGGACTCATACCTCCTTGATCCTGCCCTTGAACAAAGAAACCGTTTTTGGCATCCAAAACCTAGTCACTAGTCTATCTGCAATGCAGCTCCAGTACATAGCTAATAAGCTGCAAATTGAAACCTCCAAATCAACCGGGAAGGACGTGTGCACATTCTCCCGGGCAAAGCATGATTAAACACATATAGAGGAGGCACAGCATTCTGGTCCAAACTCCTCATGGGAGAATGAACAGTGTTTTCAAAACCCAGCAGTTTTATCAAAAAGAGCCTGTGCCAAGTTGATCTATGTAAAAAGATCAAAAACCAACGGAAGAAGTCCAGTGCCCCCAAATGAATAGAACAGTGATGATCATATACAACAATAACTATTTTTTAATACATAACACAAGTATGATCAATGATCAGTATGATTCAATGATCGTTGAAATCATTGAGGATATTGTCAAGTAGATGAAGTATATAAATGATCCGAACACAAAAACAAACACTTTACAGTGGTTTCAGAGTAGATGGCACAGACCCCAAGATGTCCTTTAGATGGGGATCCATATAAACCACCTTTTGGGGATTGTGCCATCTACTCTCAATCCACTTTAAACTTCTGTTGTCCAATCACGCTGCGATTCATGACGATTGGCTTGCCAGTGACTTCTTGACTTGAACACATCTCTCATTCAATGTCTTTTCGATCCACATTGATCCACGAACCACTCGCCAACCCCGGGCACTTTGATCGATATCTCGTTGGGTCCTGCTGGAGAGGTGAAGCTTGGGCGGGAAGCTGCCACACAGCGCGTTGAGCAGTGGCCTTCTCCAAGCGCGTCAGACTTTGGGCGACCTGCCATGCAGTGTCAAACGGTCACCACAAATCTCAGGAGAAAAGGCCTGCACAGTGGCAAGCCACTGTCCAAAAAGCAACAAAAAGGGTTTCTTTGCTCAGTCAAATGTGTGTCCAAATGGAGGTATTCACGGAGTTGCAGGAAGCAAACCAAGGGCTTCATGTGTTTTCCGTGCTACTAGGGACCCATCTTCCTATGCCAGCTGTGCATGTACAGCTGTATCTGTCCTTCGGCAAGACCCTGCACCGCTTGAAGCAGCATGAGGTCAAGTTTGCTGGTGCCATCCCCTGCGCCTTCTTTCACATCGACAACTGCAGGTTCCGCACTGGATACAGTGCTCCTCCGACTCTAGATAGACTCTCTGGAATCATTTTGAAAGTGGAGTGAAAACCACCTGTTTGTAGAGGATTTCATGGTCATCCTTTCGAGGCCCATCCGCTTTCCATAGTTATTTCGAGTGCATCAACCCCTGAAGGAATGTGAAAAGAACACGCTCCCCGAAGAACGGCATCCCACCTGCAAAGGGAAGGTGGAGCTTCCCAAGTAGACCAAAGCCACCAAACCAATGCGTACTTGAAGTGCCAAGCTTTGGGCACAAATCTCGCGAGCAGCGGCGTAGACCAGGAGCTCTTGCCTTGGAGTGCCGAGGCGCAAACAACATTTTCTAGCAGCCGAGAACACATTCTCAAGACTTTGAACATGGTTCGAGTTAACAGTCAACATTATTGGTATGTACAATCATCAGTCGGGAAGTGCAGCATGATACAGCTTTTGTGGGGGAAGCGTAGTCTCTGGGACTCTGGGAATATACGACACCTTTTAGACCTTCCTTCTTTGTCGTTCCGTTCAGGGCGTGTGGTTTTGTTGCTCATGGCCTGTAAGATTTCATTTCAGCAAAGAAAAGCACAGCACCGTGCCACACAGAGAGTGAAAACACGTTGCAAAACATCCTTTCAATTCTCAAGTCAATGCCCATTCTTGATCTGGTCTTCAATATGAATCCTGTTTTCAATATACCATCCACATCCAGGTGTTCACCTCCCAATCACCTTCCACAACAAACTTGCGATCCTTTCAGACCTCTCAGCAGCCCTTCCACTGGCAGGGTGCTGGGGGGTAGATTGTGGGATATAGTGAGAACACAAACGACTATAATCAAATAAACCACTACCAGCATGCTGTACCAGAAAGAAGAATCCTCTCACCACAAACCTGGATATTGCCAAGTCAGCACTTTGGGAGCGATCAGTTATGAATGAATTCGGACACCTGCCACCAGTTACAGTTATGATACGACGTTCGTTTCCCAGTCGCAGGTGGCGCTGGTTGAAATAGAAGGGATGCAGCAGCACAAAGACCATCGATGCAAAGGCTTCATCGCACAAGTTCGCCAAAAGGCCATCCAGGGCAACACCGTAGACGTGTCCTGGGGAAACAAAGCGCCAAACCCGCCGACGTGAGAACTGTCATGGTAACCCCCAGGTTTTTTATCTGGTACATCCGCAGTTATATCAAGTTATATACACTCCTGCAGATTGGAACCTGAGAATTGACCGATGGTTTCGACCCTTTTCCATCGTGTTTCCTCTACAACCCTGTGTTTTCGGGGGGGTTCCATGTGGTCCTCTTCAGGTGGGTCATTGTCACAAGGACCAGATGATGCGAACGGGCGAACGGTTCGTTCAACGGGGCCCAGAATGGCATGTGGCATCAGTATGCCTATCAGTGGGGTCTGACTCGATTTGCGCAGCACATCGGTCACAGCTGCCCATCACCAACCGTGTTGCTCATCTTTCTCAAGTTGAAGTTGAAGTCTCACTAAACTGGATTCAACTTGAGCTTCTTTAAAACACCCTGGCACTTTTTTTCTCCCAAACTCCATCAGCCACCATCGGCATCCATCCGCCATCGTACCATCACCGTCAGCCCGTGCCAAGTGGCCAATGGCCACGCCCCGGTGATCCAGCTTCGCCGCCGCCAGGCACAGGCGCACCGCATTGGACCGCGAGACCAGCGCCGCGTCGCGCAGGCGCTGCGAGACCAGCGCCCAGTAGGGCTGGCTGGGACGCACCGAGAGCTTGGCGAAGGCGTGGAGAAGTAAGATGACGTGGTCTAAAGAACAATCGGTCCTCAAGGATCAACGGCTCCCAGCAAAGGAGTGTGCAAAAGGCAAAGCGCAAGACGGAGTAGAAAGGGATTAAATTCTGATTTGGGATCACTCAAGCAAGTCTACACAAAGTTGGCAGTCACACCCGACATCACCCAAGCGCTGTTGGTGCGTGGTTCGCTGAACATTGACTAGCAGGTGGTTCGGAGCAAAGGTGAGCGAAGCTGGCGAATCCAAGAAATTGGGAACCATGAGTCAATTTGTCCAGTACCACACCCAATTGTAGGTTGGAGGCCATCACTATTAGGTTGGGAAAACTTAGAAATCGGTTCCAACGGAGCACTTCCATCTCACGAGTACTCTACCTACCAAGTGGATTTGGGTGGCTACCTTTTTGGGCAAAACCATAGCGCACAGCATCTTAAAAAAAAGAATCCACGTGGCCTCATGCACAAAGGCTCAATATTTGATGGAACACCTACTTACTTCACATGAAAATCAAGCACCCTCTGCAAGACTCCCGGCGCATTTAAGAATCGATTTTAGTTTGGTGAACATGTTTGCAGGTTGCTGGCAATGCACCAGTCTAACAAATGGGTTGGAAGAACTTGAAGAACATGAGCATCAACAGCTGCTCCAAAAGCAGGCTCTCACAAAGTGCTTTCAATAAGTGACACAAAGGAGTTGATTCTTTTCCGGATTTCTGCCGAGGCACCTGAGGCCAGGATTCTTCTGAGGACACAGGTGGTCCAAAATCACCTTGGATTTAAACCAGGTGGAGCACATGTCATTTCCAAAGGCTAGCAAGCCCATGTGGCGTCCCTCTCCTTGCGTCCCAATGGCCAAAGCCAAATCTTGAGACATTGCAAAGTTCAGCTGAAGCCGTGCCATGCAATGCACCATGATGCAAAGCTCGGCAGTGGGGCAGTTGCTGAAGGTGGCCTAAGGGACAATGGAGGCACACAAACAACAGGGCACAAGCGGCTCAAGCTTAGCTTCAGTTCTTTTTATAGTGAGACCATGTGGGACACCTATCAGAATTCTTCAATCCAATTATATAGCCCACAATGTGGAACATATTTCAAACCTTGGCAAACCCAAGCAGTGCAAACAACTACTGTTTCTCTTATGATAGTGTCGGTTTCCTTCCTGTTGGGACCATTTGCGCCTCAATGGCCTTCATCAACTCCTCCCCCACTCCGCCCACGCCACCGCTCAAGCCGCCACTCCGGCGTGCAGAGGCGACGAGGACCATCACCAGCTCCGGGTAGCGCAGGTGCTGCGCGACCCGCGCGAGGTCCTCCTCCAAGGCGGCCATGGCCTACGCAGCGAGCTGCGTGACGGTGAGGGTGATTTGATGGCTTCAATCTGAAGGATGAGTGACTGATGGATCACGTGGTGCCAAATGGATGGCATGCACGTGAAGGAGCAAAGTGCAACATTGATGTAATTGGTGTTCGAGGCAGGTTGGCGGTTGGCCAACTTCCCTCAGCTCATTGACTTGGTCCTGCCACTCGACCACTTTCAAAGAAAACACACACTTGAACCGTTACATGGCGTCTCGGCAGAAAAAGAACCCACCTCCTCCGCCCAGCGCGGCAAAGGAAAGCTACCAGTGCTTGACCCATGGCTCTCTCCACCCATGCGCGACAAAGCATCCAAACTCAAGGCCACTTCGGCCGGCTTAAAGCCCTTCCGTGCGAAGCGGCGAAGGGTGGGCACCAGCCTCGTCACGTCGCAGAAACGTCAACCGTGCTGACGACACGACGTGGGTCCCACGACCGCACGAGGTCCCTCCCAGCTTCTTCAAGTCCAAGGATTTGGACCAACGCCAAACCGCAAGAAACTGCCAGGAAACATTGGGAGGCTTCTCAATTTACAACCAATCAGTGGGACTGGCATGATTGGCTACACTGACCCCCTTACGGTAACCTTCAACCACCTATAGTGGGAAAGTCCATCAGTTCCTAACACCGCGATCCTCTCTGGCTTACCCAACTCCCAAGGCCAAAACCCCGAAGGTGCTTTCCAAGGCGCTCCTGCACCACCTCCGCCACCAACTCCGTGTGCTCCCCCAGCTGCGCCACCGCGTGCGCCAGCGCCGCCGCACCCCGAGGTTCCAAGTCCCGTCGTGCGCGGCCACGCACATCGCGCAGCACGCGCGCCAGCAAGGCGGGTGGGGCCCAGCTGAGGCGAGACATGGCGCTGAGAGTGAGGCAAAGGTCCTGCGGAGGTCGCGGACGACACCGACAAGCGTGACTGGTCCAACGAGTGTGGCACAGCGGTGCTCCTCTTGCGAGGAATTGAATGTGGGACGATAAAAGTTGGAAACAAGTGCGAGGTTGGTGTCGCGAGTACGAGTGACGAGCACCAATGTTGGCAACCGCTCACATGTTGTGACTGGTGACAATGAATCAACCACCAAATATATGTCCAGCAAGAGCAAGCAGGGGAAGAGCTAAAGTTCATAGTCAAGCTTCAGATCCCAGGGGTCTTCTGATAAATCAGGAGTCAGGAGTCTGATGAGGTTCATGAATATATAATAATATATAGATAACAACAACAACAACAACAAGGTACAAACAAAACTGCAGCCCCGTTACAAGATATCTTGTTCCTTTGTCTCTACAAGGGGGTGGAAACAAAATCTGCAACCCCGTCGTTGTTATTTTGACCCCCTCAAAAAAAGCAGCCAACATGTACTTTTACCAGTGGTGGTAGTGCTTGTACTAGTGCTAGTACTGCTAGTGCTAGTGGTACTAGTACTAGTAGTGGTCGTTGTTGTTGTGACCGCAAGTAGTAGTAGTCGTCGTCGTGGTGGTGGTAGTCCGGTCAGCTAAGCCTCTGTAAAACTTCTACTTAGAACCTCTACCACATCCTAGAGACAAAACTGCAGCCCCCTTGTTTTTTTTTGGACCCCCCCCTCAAAAGATGTTGTTGTCTCTACCCCCCCTAGAAACAGAATCTGCAGCCCAGTTGTTGTTTTTTGACCCCCCCCCTCCAGAACAACACCCCAAAAAACATAAAAAAAAAACAAGAAACAGACCAACCAAGACTTGAGTACCACAACGACAAGAAGTCCAACTACTAACATCTCTCCAAACCTTCGACCCTATCCCCAACAGTGTCCCTTTGAAATCCCTGACTTGCAACATGTGACAACTATGTTGGGCAGCTGTTTTTGTCTCTACCAACGTCTCTACCAACAACAACGACAACAACAACAACAACAACGACCACGACGACAACGACAACGACAACGACGACAAGGACAACGGCAACGGCAACAACAACAACAACAACAACAACACTGTAATCATCAACAACCACGAACCACCAAACCGACGCTTGGGAACGCTGAGACCACACCGGCGCATCCCCTCCTGTGCCGAGAAGCCTCCTTGGGTGCATCAACCACCATCCGACCGGTCGAATCCTACAAAGCTGAAAATGCCCTGGATTCCCGGAATTCAAGAGGCAAACAACCTGCATTGCACCTGACCCAGCACGCACAAATGCAATAATGGGGCATGGATATCGTGTTCAATGCAATATGGGGTTGATCCATCTGCCTGGTGCAGTACCAGTAGTGCAGCAAGGACGACCTTGGGACGTCTACAAGACTAGCAACTTCTCTCAAGAAAGGATGCGGTCCATTACATACCTAGTATCATCTAGTATCTACAGTATGTTGATTCTCTTGCCCAAGCTGCTCAAAGAAACAACTGCTACCAGTAGCCCGACTTACTTGTTCAAACCAATTTCCGGCTCGGTTTTTGGGACTTTGGACAGGCCAAACGGGCTTCTTCGGAAAGTTCTCACGTCTTGCAAATATGGTATTGTTTGGATTCCCCGTCAGCAGATAGTGGATTGAGCAAAGTAGATTATGCGATTATGTGGATATATCATGGTATATCATTGTTCAGTCACCAACGTGTGTGATCAAAGTGTCCATCAAATTAATCCAAAACAGCAGGATTCATCCAACGCCAACGCATCCTCGGTAGAACCTCCATAACTCCTTTAAGGACCTCCGAGATCCGAGGCTCCTTCCCGCACCTCCATGAGCGCCTCCTCGGCAGCGCTGGTCCAGTTGGACACCCGCGCGTGCGCCAAGGCATTCACGGTGAGCGTTAGATTCTGCGCCGGCATCTTGGACATGAGTGGCGTGCAGTAGTGGGCGATCTCCTGTCAAGGTCGGAGATCAAGCTGGGCTTGGTGCGAGTTACTTGCCATGACTTGATGCACAGAAGTGAAGCAACAAGGAGGAACAAAGGAAGTAGAATGAAGAATGCCACGAAAGGACAAACACTGTGCTGTATCGAGGAACTTGCTCTTGACAAGGACAAGGAGCTTTTCTTCTGGTTGAATCAAATTAATCTGCGACAAAGCGCAAAAAAAGGGATAAAGGCTAGTGGTCATGCTTTCAGGGAATTAAATCTCTCCGGGCGCCTCCTAGCCTAGTACCTCCCAAGATACATTATAGACATAGAGAAACAAAACATGAAATATATATATATATATGTTTAGATGCATTTGGAAACAATTCACTTCTGCTTTGTGCGCTGGCTTGCCAAATCTCATTACAGTACTTTTCCAACCCGACAGTCCTCCCATGTCTCCGTGTCAAACTCTTTTGGCCTCTTGCTGAGCTCGTTCACGCAAAGGCTGGCCTGCGGAGTGGAAGAAAACCGGTGTCAAGTCCAACCCAAGCAAAACCGCGGTTGCCGTCTTTACACTCTCAATAACGACACGTCCGACGCATGTGTGCGCATGTGTGTAAGCAAAATACAAACGTGTATCACCCCGCTTACCCAGCACCTGGTGCTTCGGTAGGAATCTGAAAGGACAAACGTGGATGCCCAGCTCTTTGTTCTGTCCTTTTACTTCCCTCTCACTCCACCATTTCACCTACTTGGTGAATTATGTATTCATGCTAAAGAAACTCAACGCACGATCGACAAGCCTAATTAGAACTTGAGGGCTTGAGGGTACTCTTTACTGACCAAATAGCATCAAAGGCTCTGTTGAAGCCAAAGTCGGTCAAAATCAATCCAAGTGGGGAACAAACACAAGCACATCATGCTGCCGCACATCTACGTGACTCAAGACCATTTTCTCTCAAAGGGCCCTGGTCATCTTCCATGTTTGTCAGAGGGGGGTATCATCTCCACTGAACACATGTCCCCCCAAGCCCGAGCCACTGAATGTTACAGATCACCCTCCAATCAATAATCAATAGAACCATGCCCAAGTCAGTCTTTACATACTAGCCTAGGGCCTATCATATTGAGTCTGTACTGCTTGACCCCTCACTTCAGACTATCTTAAGCCAGTCTTAGGTCTTCAGCTGCTACTCATGTTCAAGCAGAATCTTCGGCTACTACCCAGCTCCACTTCCATTTTCCCCAACGTGCGCCTCAATGATGAAGCTTGGCCCCTCCTCTTTAGTGCTTCTCAGCGCCTCGAGCAGCCTCAAACCTCCACCGCGCGGCTGAGCGCGCAAGGCCTTCCGAAAGCCACGCAGCGCCATGGCCGGCGGGGAGGGAGTTCCAGCGCCATGGGGAGACGAGGGGAGGTGGAATGTGTTTTGGGTGGAATGGTAGCTGTGGGGGTGGCACTAACACCCTTGGGGTGTCAAAACATGTCAAAACTACCTGAAGGGTAGCACTAGCACTTTGTCAAGAAGCTGAAGGGTGAGGAAAGGCGTACAGAGTTTTTTGAGCCTTTGATTCATGGTGATTGATGGTTCATGTAAGCTGGGGTTCGGAGGATTTTCTGAGACGGTGTTTTCTGAGATGATCCAAGCAACTGATTATCTCAAGCCTTTGTAGCTCAGTGCTGAGCTCAGGAGACTTGGGTGAAAACTGGGTGGAAACCGGTGGTGCTTGTTGATCTTCGTTGAGTGGCTCTTTGAGCAAATCAATTGCACCGGTTTTCAGGTGTGTTGATCTGATGAATTCTGGGATCACTTGGTCAATCTCACACATGCTAGATCATGCCAGGAACGATGGACCAAATCTTGCCGACCAGGAGTCACAAAGGCTTGTCTATTGGAGGATAGGGGTGCCCATTATCCACTCACTTGGGGACTGAAAACCACTCCTTTGTGACTCCTGGTGTATTTGTCTATTAGGTCCTAGGTCCACTTCTTGCCAGCAAGGAATCCCCAAACCGTGCTGATCAGCTGCACTGCACAATGTCACACCCCTCCACTGACTCTACGGAGGCATCTTCCTGAGGTACTGTGGGCCCCTGTGGATGCAACAATTGAGGTTTGCCCTGTCAGCCAGAGTCGAGACTCTTCTCAATGTTGCCAGTGCTTAGCCAGTGACTCATGAGCGGTTGCTCGAACCCTGGCAATTGATTTTCTTTGTGGTTGCTGGAAGAGACTGGGACTTACCGATTTCACCCGCCGTCTGTGGCATTGATTCATGATAATCATTTCATTGAGCCGAGAATAGCTTCTCATGCTGAACAAGTCGTCAGGACAAGCCGCTGTGCAAAAGAAGATACGCATATGCATTTATGCCGTCAATGCCGTTAAAACGTGTCCCAAATCTCACCACTTTTTTAGGCAGGATAGGTCTGTGCCGAAAAAGGCGCCTTCCAAGTCCAAGCAGTTTCTGGCAGGGTGGGCTGCCCACCATATCCCTGGGCCTCCACCTAGTTTTTTTCAAATTGCTGGCCACCAGGGTGGGCTGCCTCCTACCCCGCCAGCACCCAGAAATTAAGCAAACGGTGCGCCTCCCGAAACCTGTGTGCTCGTCCCGTGTCCATGCAACCGCATGCGCCTCTTCTCCGGCTCTGAGACGCAGTCCCGGTCTTGCAGGTCCCACCTCGAACGGCGGAGGAGCTCGACTCGAAGGGGCTGGTGAAGTGAAGGAATGCGATGTGACATGATCTCCAGTCAGGGTATGCCAGTCAAGGACCTCCAGGACATCTACCCTAGTAGGGATCCACTGCCACCTTCTGAGAATGCCCTTCCGTACCTTCTGAGAAGGTGGCAGTGGATCCCTATAGGGTCAAGGACCTTTGCTCCGCCTGAAGGTGCCTCCAGCACGGCCCATGAGGCGCCAAGGCGTGCCTCGCCGGAAAGACGGCCCGGCCCCTAAGCGGCGTGCACAGACATGTCGAGGTCTGAGGGGGCATGCCTTCCAAACAGGTCTGTATAGTGGTTAGTGGTCAAAAAACAGATTCAACGCAACACTATGCCATGCCTTTTCTGGAGTGGATGATTTTGGGGTCACCGCACAAGGCTCATGACCCGCCGGATCTCTTCCGAAATTCGGCGGGAAGCACCCAACACAAAGTCAACGGCTTGCAGGTTCTGTCATGCTGCCCGCTTCAATCTTCATTTGAATATTTGAGGCCACGTTCTTCTGAAAGTGATCAACAACAACCCATAAGGTGATGGATTCTCCGGATTCTGCTGGTGTTCCAAAAGCAATCTCAAGAACTGGACCCCAAACCCTCCCGTGTATGGAATATAGTTATATACATACAGTCAGTTGCATACATTTACCCCATGAACATGACCGAAATCCTTGTATCAATCACTCCCAACCAGTCCCGTGGATGGTCTAATAAATATTTTGCGCAATTCACCCCATCACCCCCACGCTGCCCACCGGCGCAAACGCTGCCAAACGCACAGACCGCGGTCCTGGGTTGACTTGGAAGGCAACCTTTTCACCGCCCGTGGTGGCGGGGAGCTCCTCACGGTGAGGAGAACTATCTTTAGGAAAAGGGTTCATTCACCTGGTGGGCAAATGAACGGAAATCATTGTGTCGTGTGTTTCCTTTTTTCAAGTTGTACCTTTGGGAGATCTTGGGTAAAACTCCATGCAGGGAACGAGTTTTACACGGTGTAAATCACCTGCCAGGATTTTTGCCACCACGGACGGACTCCCAACATGGCCAAAGTACTAAAAACATGGCCTGCCAAAGCTCCACTTGTTTCTCCCTGAAGGCTTGTCACCTCTGGAAATCTCAAATCCATTACACCAAAAATGAGCACTAACACACACACCAAAAAAAAAAATATATAGCTTCCAAAGGGAATCTGAGACCTTAAACTTACGGTTGGCTTTGCATGTGCAAATTGCCCCTTTCATATCTTTCATAGTGATGAGAGTCTCAAGTGCATATTTAAAAAGATTATACGTAGCATCAGCTTGTGCATGTACTCAAAAGCAACATCACACACGAACACATCATCATCGGCCGATCATAGGCACTGCGACGCGACGACGGGATCTTTCTTGGCGCTTTCAAGGCCGTCCGCACGCTCCGGTGTGCGGCCGAGCCGGGCAAGCTCTGCAGCCCCGGTCGGGCTCCAGGGGGTCATCGGCTTTCTTAAAATGGGTGTGAGAGTATACATTTGACCATTTCAGGGGTTGAACTCATGAGATCATGCATGTTCTCTGCTCCTATATTTTCATTCTTTTTCACCAAACCTCTCTCTCTCTGCACCGCATTTTGCGATTTGCCTCTATGGTACGTGGCCTGCAGCAACTTCGGCTGTGCAGGGCCAAAAAAATCCTCACCGCCCGCATCACGGGCTGATTTCACACGGTCTGTCGCGCTCGGGCGAGCTCACCGGGAACCGGTCGGGCGGCTTGACGGGCCGAAACGGGGCTCCGATGGAACTTGAGAATTCGAGGAATTTCGAGATCGCCTTGGTTTCACGTGGGGCACCCATAAGGAATGCCTGATGGCAAATGAATCACGATGCAACAATTGATCTTCCGGATGTCTTTTTCATGGCTGCATGGCTTGGTGGCTTCCAAAGTGTTCCACGTGTCTGGACACCAAGGCGCCATAACCGCGCTGCACTGCGGCATGGCACGATTCATCTTTGCTTTTGAGCATGGGGTGAGCAGGGGAGGTATTATATCGGTTGCCAGGCTTTGTTTCACTTTCAGTGTCACTATAGTTATAAGCATATAATATGCATGCAGTACTAACTCACAGCGAGATGCGTGCTCATGCACTCGCCTCTTTTCTAAAGCTCGAAAGCTGGCTAAAGGTGCACCTGCGGACGTGAGAGTGTGAGGGACCTGAATCACGAACGGGCATGCAAAGAGCAAGTCACTTTGAAATTCTCACTGGTATCTTTCTTCTTTCGTGATTCGGGGCTCACGAGCTGAGTGTACGGGCCATTCAACCAGCTCCTGAACACTTCCCTCAGCTGCTTGGTAGATTTCGTCAATCCATCGGCCCATTGGACCGAGGTTGGACACCAGCGAATGGTGGTAGCAGAAATGAACTGCTGGATGCTTCTCAGATCCACGTAGGTGCGCTTCTCGGTGGTGCGTGGATGCTCAGCTGAGATGGCATCGTGAAGACTTTTGCAGTCTGTTACTTGCAGTTGGTGGAGCCGCCATGAACTCAAGTCCTTCTTCGGCTTCTCACCTGTCAGCAGCTCGCTGAGCATCAGGTTGGCGAAGTAGCTGCGATCCACGCAGTCGTCGCAGGACATCGCCTCACTTGCAAGCGTCGACCTGCAAACCCGTGCAGATCTGTTGCTGCGCCAGTCGATGAGATTGGCTTTGGCATTCACCTCTGTGCACTGGGGTGAGGTGATGAGAACCCCGTGACGGATCTAAACTCCGTCTGTTCCGCTGTGGAAAGCGGTCCACCCTGAGCGATGCGGCCTCGCTCCAACTTGCCACTTGTGGAGTTGTCCACAAACTTGTCTTGGGTGACATGGAGGTGGATGGCTTCTCCATGTTTCTTGAGCGTCAGCTCCTTTCCCTTGAACTCCAGTGGCTGGTCCATGGACAGCTGCTTCTGGCTGCCCCAGGAGAAGAGGTCGAGCAGCTCTTCTTTCCGGTAGCTGGTCCTGCATGTCATGAGGAAGTCGTCGACGTAGACGATGCAGAGAGAGACGAGGCGTTCATCTTGCCTCTTGTAGAACATCATCTTGTCCAAATGGTGCTGAGTGTAGCCCACTGACAGCATTCGCTTGATCACTTCTCGTGACCATGTGCGAGGGGCGCTTGCTAGCCCATAGATGTTCTTGAGAACCCTGTAGAGTTTGGCTTTGAACGTGCCCGCTCGGAGGGTGATGGCATCCCGTGGCGGCAAGAGGTAGAGGGGCTCTGGCCTCTCGTGGTCTTCGAAAGTGCCCTGCATGAAGGCGGTGGACACGTCTCCGGCCCACAAGATCCATTCTTCGGGATCTGCTTCCATGAGGCCATTGGCTCCTGCGGTGAAGATGCTGAGCAGGATGTATTCCGACACCCTCATCGGAGTCGGACTGTCCCTTGAGATCCGATGCAAATCTGGATCTAGGTGGCCAAGTGCGACCACTCGAGTCTTGGCGGTGAGCTCGGTGGGGATGCGGCTCTTGTTGCGGTAGCAAGCCCTGCTTCGCAACACCCTGCGCCTTTGTGCAGGATTGGCCAAAATGGCGGCCGCTTCATCATCTGGGATGGCTCCAGCCCTTTTCTTCCTTTTGGGCTGAGGCCACATAGGCCTTGATGTCATCTTCTGGCATCTTCATGATCTCTCGCCAGGGGATCTCGC